GGAAGCATGATTGGGATGTTTTTAATATTTTAGTAATGCTTCATATGTTTTGTGCCCGCATTTTGCTTATTTTAATGACATGCATGTTCGTAGGCCGGACAGTTCAGTTCAGTTCATGGCAATTATACATATGATGCTGGGCATGTCCAGCTTATCACTAAAATTGCTTCCACAGGTTTCGGTCCATGTACACTGTAAATTTGATAACTTACTCATTAATTTGTTGCATAGTTAGAACCAAACTTGTAAGTTCCAGTCCTCTTGATAGAAGCTGAGCACTGTAAACAAGCACTTAGAGAACCAATGTTTCAAGGCTTTGTGATATTTGAAAGGTGAGTTGATGGAGAACACTTAAAATTAGATGTGTCATTAAAAAATGAAGGTGAAATTTCAGTGCAATTTGGCCAGGTTGAGTTTGGTACAGCAAATAGTGCTTTGCAGGGCTCAGGCCACTGATGCTACATTGGTGTCTTGTTTAACAGATGGTTTTTTGTAGACTGGTCCATAGTACTTTGGGGCCTGACAAAATTTGGTGACAGATCCATGTCTGCCCCCATGAAACCCTCTTGCATTCCATTATGTGTAGAAGGGAACATTTATGGAACAATGATAACATATTTGTCTTGTGGTATAATTTAGCATTTGTATGACCAGGGGCATATGCATGATTTGTGCCAGCGAAACTGATTTTTACATGTAAGGTCCAGTCCCATTGATAGAACCCAAGCACTGTGAACAAACTGATCAACCCCAACCATGATTAATAGGAACTTACTGTGGTGGTAATAAGCTATCAATGTTGGTTTGCCCTGGTACCTCAAACAATTGTTTCTGCTATGTTTTGCACAAATTTTCTTGAATATGTGTTAGCCCTGTCTAATGTAGCTATATATGGTGCTGCCTCTAGTAGTGTATAATATTTCAACAAGAATAGTGACCTGATAATCAAATCCAATGCCAAAATTATGTTTTGTCATATGGTGAAACTTTGCTTGATTCTGACAGGGATGGCTGAAGATCTTAAGCCCCCCCCCCCCCCAGCTGTGCCTTTCTTAGCAGCAGAGGGAACAAAGAAGATACAAATATACATCAGCCATTATATTTGCATGCATGGGCTGCATAATGTACACATATCCTAAGATGCTGGCAGTCTGCATATTTTTGGCCTAAAGTGGTTATAATGATCTTGTCCACTGTGTCACTGACTTACAAGTGTGTCACTGACTTACAAGATTTTTTGTATGATTTTGTTATACCCATTGTATGAATTGGTGATTAATAGTATGTTCTGCCAATTCATGCAAGCTCAGCCTATTTATGAGCACAATATCCCACAGGTCAGCTCATGGAGTGGTGGCATCCAGATTGGAGTGACTCCCTGCAACCCCTGCACGCTGGAGCTTCCTGCCAGTGCCAATGACCTCCGAAATGGCACTTGGGGTTAGTATAGAACGTGATGAACATGTTTGCCCATGTGGTGACTCAGGTACTGAGAGCAAAGCTCACCCATGGCAGGATCCATCCCAGCCCTAACTGGGGATGGTCTGTGGATGGTGTCAGCTGCCTCACAAGAGGCCTGGTGATATGAGAGGACAGGACAACCTATGCCAAGCATTGTGGTATGTGTCAAACTTTCAACACTGTAATTATTCAGTTGACCCAGGGATCAGAGGAGTGAGGTGGAAGTCATAGCGTACTCAACTAGTGCCTGGTAAACATGGCTATATTAGAAGTTCGTCTGCCATCAAACAGCTCAAACCAGTGCTTTAAAATGTGTGTGTGATATTTTTAGGGATGGCATATCAAAGACTTACTAAGCAGTTTTTGCTTTTGTTGTTTTGCTTTGAACAGTGCTGTATCATGTAGGGAACAATTGGTGGGGATTGTTCTCTGCTGGTGTGTTGCTTGAATACAATTTGACCAGTTACTTACCCGCTGACCATCATCAGGTGTTGGAAGTTCTGAAGTTCTGATGTTGGAAATGATGCTTGTTTATCAGCCATGTATTCATCACAGGTCATGTATATGTAGAAGTGGCTTGCAAAAGAAGCATGTCTTTTATTACACATCATACACAAGGTTGCAATATGTATGCATTTCTTACACAAATGTTTACATATTTTCATGTTGTTTTAGCAAGCACAAAACCACAGTCTCACTCAGAAATCTACCTTGAAAATCACACAGATGAATTGTCCTGGTCCGAGCTGAAGGGCCATTCATTGCAGCCCATGGGTAACCAGAAACTGCTATTCTGGCCGATATTGGGACCGCGTTGCTGTGTCGATCTGGAAGCTGTCAGTGTGATGCTCATGCGTCGGTCCCATCACTGATGTGGCGGACCCTCTGACCTTGGCATCTGACACAGGATCGACGCAGGACACGTCACCGACGCAAACGATCCCTTACCAGCACATGGAGTCCAAGTGCGTAATTGGCACTGAGACACCAATTCTGCTTATCGACCTCTGTCTCCTGGTTGAAGCGGCTCGGAGGACGCATCGTTCGGTCCCCGCGACCTCTGACTGGCACAAGTCATTGTTTCATCGTGAAGCTAACCATTGCATCATCGTTTCTCATGTCTCCTGTCATTGTCAAGAGGGCCTTGGGCCGACCGCAAGAGGCCTTTTGACGTCCGAGGCCACGCTCCTGGCCCGTTCAGCAAGCGTGCCCCATGGCCGACTGTGTGCTTATTGCCGACCCGGGCCCCTTGTTGGGAGTTGTGAGCCCCTGATCAGCATAGTGGCCAGGCCAATGCACGCCCTTTCGGATTAATATTTGCAGTCCCTGACCTGCCCCTACTTGTTAGAGAGGATGGAGGGCCAAGGCTGGCGACGGACGGAGCGTTTGGTATTGCATACTGGATCACATCCCTCATCCCCTGGCTTGTCCTTCGGGCCCTTCGATCAGACTCTGGATTGCCGTACCCTCGTCGTCCAAAGGGCTTCTCGGGTCCTCGGGACCTGAAGACCTAAGATAAGTTATATACCCCTGTCCCAGCGATAGCGGCGCCCTTGGTTCCTCGTGAAAGCAAAAAAGTGGGACAGTATTTGTGCCCTTTGGAGTGTGGCGCCGCTTAAGATTAGAGGGATTGGAGCTCTTCGAAGTGCCTGCATAGATCAAAGAGTACCTCTTCAAAATACAGGTGGTGATCTCCGAGATGAGGCCATCGGGTATCTCTTGGGCGAGAGATCTGACCTAGGATTTAGTCCGGGTGGAAGGCACAGAAGTTGTGTAGCCCCTGATTTTGGTGTGCTTTGAAATGAAGATGTTATGGTCGTTTATGTGACCTGTTTGAATAAAGTGCCTGCCAAAAAAAGGTTATGACGACCCAAGATAAAAGCTTTGGTAACCTATCGCCAAGTGAGCCGATCCAGGGTTCCCCTCATGGGGGAAGTGTGAGCATTGTGGTGCCTCTCAACTTTGATATCTCCTGAAAATACCAGTTTTAGGACCCAAGGCGGTCCCCCGGAAATAGGTGTCTGCTTAAATAATGTGTACGATGCTCCATAATGAAGGTTCTGTGGTGCCTCTGTGCGGAACGGGCCGATTTAGAATTTGGTCCGGACGAAAAGCAGAGTTCGTGGTGTCCCTTAAAATGAATGTTTCGGGACCTTTTCAATGGCTCAATTGGACTCAACTGTTGCAAAAAGCTGTACATCGTACCAGTTTCAACGGAAGTAAAGGGGTCGGCACTTTCCAATGGCTTGTATCGTTTGGTCTGATAGCTTATCATTTTATGATCATGCGTAGACCTTGTTGATATGGTGCTATTTATCGGTGTGCTTTTGGTTTTAGTCATTTTTTTTTAAATCAGCGCTTTTGCATAAAGCCTTCAAAATACAGGTGGTGATCTCCGACATGAAGGCATCGGATATCTGCGAGTTGGGGTTTTCAGTAGCCGGTGACTGCCAAAGTGCTGGATGTACGACTTTTTGATTTTACCAGCATGTGGCTGGGCACCAGTTGCACATGTTACCTTAGTTTCAATAAAATTGAAGGATTCTGCACCTATTGTTTACTTCGAATGTACTGATATCCGAATTTGATGCCAACTTTACTGACTTAGTTTGTAAGTGTTTTATCTGAGCGTTTTGAATGGCTAGATTTATGTGATCAGAGCTAACGTCAAGCAGTGCTTGTGTAGCTTGACCCCAACCACACGACGACGCAGTGCCAGGTCAACGGCCTAATTTGGTGGCGGATGTGCCGCTTATTTTTTGTTTGTTGGAAGTTCGCTGCAACGCTCGACAACGCAACGCATCCTGCCCCCTGACGTCAACTGACCTCTAGCGTGGCCGCTGCCACCGGCTCCAGGCCATACCTGTCAAGGCTATACCTGTCAAGTTTAGCAGGCGCCTAAAGCGACTCGAACCCACCCTGCCACCGGTTGGCGGATGGAAGGGCAGGCGCTCTAACCAACTGAGCCATCGGAACGGACGTCTGGTGAAGTGGTCCCTTGGCGTCCTGAGATCAGTCCCAAAGTTGTAAACAGTAGAAAGGCACCCGCCTTTCATGACGACAGACATGCCTGGCCACTCGGGCTCGTGGCTCCGTAGTCACTTGTCGGGAAGATGTGTCCGGCCATTTGATCCGTGTATTCAAAGTCGGCCGTTGCTCAAAGTGCTTGCCTTACTAACAAACTGGTACCCAAGAACACATTTAGGTTTTCGTAGGGGGAAGGAGGCATGGGCCACGCAATATTTGTCTGAATATATTTGACTCAATGTATGTTACGGCACAATATTTGTCGCTAAAGCCTCAGTCAAGTCCGCTGCAGGCATGCATGATTTGCACGACGTACACACAGCGTTGCCTGGTCTCAGTCTCTGTATTCGGGAGTCCCTATTTGCGATTATCATCATTTACTCACGCAATATGCCTCGTTATGTACAATTTAAGTTCAGCCGCATCCTTCGTGTGTTCGCTGATTCTGCCTCACCAGTCCCATGGCCGTGCCACTGATAACCAGTGCTGACTTAGTGCGCGGCCGCCAGATCATGTCGGGCATCTCCGTGTCGCGGGACGGGCGGTCGGTGATCGACATCTACGGCTCCGACCTGGACCAGCTGGCCGAGGGCGACACCGTGGCCGTGTCGCGCTCGCACGATGTGAGTCAGCAGCGCACGACGAGCAGGCCCTGCCGCTTGGAAGCCTGTGGTTCGGAAGCGAGGTCTCGGGGGTTGCGTTGCCAAGTGGGAACGCTGAGGAATATCCGCATGCTGCGACAGGACGGATGTATCGATATAGGTACGAGTTGTGAATTGCGGAGGGACTCAGGCCAGCTGTTTAAGTGAGGGTACAGTCATCTCGTGGACAATATCGTGCCCCTTGCCAAAATAGGCTGCCGTGGAAAGCATGAGACTACGGACATCAAAATTGGTCGCGTCTCCCGAACTGTTCCATGCTATGGTGCTCCACGAACAAAGTGCATGCCGTAGCTAAGACCACTGCCCTGCACCGCCGGACAGCCCGGTTTCAGTGACGACGCCTCAGTGGTGGCCCCGTTTGCAGGGCGAGCTGGTGTTCTACGTGAACGGCTCGCCACAGGGCGTTGCCGGCACCGGTCTGCCGTCCCAAGTGTGGGCCGTGGTCGACCTGTATGGCAAGTGCGCGCAGGCGTCCGTCACCAATCCCAACCAGCACAGCGAGCGTGAGTCCAGCCTCAATCTGGCACATTTATAGCAGATTTCTAACAGCTTGCATGAAAGCTATTCTAGTGACGGCTTGCTCGTGCCAATCCCTCTGGCCAGTCAAGCATAACTGTTGTAAGTCTAGGGTTATTTGAGATATATAGATTATAGAGATGTATTGTAAGTGAAGAGATTAAATTCTATGTATTGCTAGTGTTGCGATTCAGCTGACCAGTACCCCAACATGACCAACATCCAATCCGCACGACTAAGTTCGCGCGTACAACCAACAACAGCCTTGGGCTTCAGTGAGTTCTTACATCTAACGAGCACGCACAGCAACACACAGGATGCCCTATCGGTGCCTGTGGACGGAAACGGTTATAACTATGTGGGACAGAAATTATGTGATATTACGCACGGGCAATATAGAGGGGGATCCCCACTTAACTGAAAACTTCCGACTTGTGAACAGAAAAAGTGTGTTGAAAAGTACGATAAAGCGTGTTCAGAAAACGAAACTCTGGAAAAGCCTGTTGGAAAGGATACAAACACGAAAACGCGTCAAAAGAAGAGCAAAAATTAACAAAAGACAGGTCATGAAAAAGAGATGAAAAATCGACATTCAGTTTAAATGTTTGGACATAAGTTCGTTTTTCATGATTACTTCGCATTGGCCAATGTCATGCATATTCATTCACCTATTTTTCCATGTTGAAGACTGTGGTGTCCCAGGAGGGCCACCATTGTGTCCGTCAAGTCTTCGCGTTTGTTGGTTCAGCCGCAAAGATTGTAATGGACGTCGGAGTAAAGCAAGGGGAGGCTCCAGTCCAAGAGAATGAAATTCAGCAGGCGGTGTGTACTAATCTCCTGCATGTGTGCCATTTGCAGGGGAAGGGGACATGCACTGCTGGGCCTCAGGCCTCTGTTTTCCCACAGGCCGCTTTTCCCCCAAATTTTCAGAGCTTCACAACTTGAGGTAACGTGGGCAAGGGCGTAGTTTGTGAGGAAGCTTGCCAGAAAGGCCCGGTGAATCTGCAGAGATGACACTGAAGGTCGGGTGCAGATAGCATTTGGGGCATAGTTGTGCTAAGTGGGTTGGCGGGGGAGAGGGGGCTGACAAGTGAGAGAAAAATGGTTACACCTACCCGCAGTTTCGACCAGTTAACTGGTTTTTCCCAGATCCGGACCACTTCCGTCTTAACCGCCCCTCTGGTCCGCCTACTGATTCACGCCGTGTTTCAGAGATGGGGTGAAAGACAGTGAAACACAGTGAAAGAGTGAAAGAGTGAAACACGGAGTGAAAGAGGGGGAGCGGGCCATGCAACTTCGGTGTGGTTTCGAACTAGAATAGATAGGTTGCGAAAAACACCAGTGGATTGGTGTCAACGAGACCCCGCGATTGTTATTAGTGTCGGTGTTGCTACAGGGAAAGGCGATTTTTTCCAGAAAATTGGATTTTAAAAATCCATCGGCTGTTTCAATACGAGGTAAACTGCGATGCGGGCACGAAGTAGCTTGAGTCAGAGGCTCGACTGGAGGCTCAAGAGGATTCCTAGACCGTGCCTCACACGCTCAAAAACAAAACAAACCTAAACGGAATCAGACTGGCAACAGCCCGTAACCCATAGAGAACAACTTCCAAAAAAGATCACTGCAGACAGAACAGTGGAGAATCCCAATATGCACTGGGTGGTGACCAGGTTGCAAAGGAGTATTCGATTAGGGGGGGGGGGGGCAAACGCGGCGTTGTACAGAATATGCGCATATTTCAAACCCCGGAAATAGAGCCTTGGATCAAGTCGGATATGTGGAATCTTGAGTCCCAGAGTCTGAGTCTTGGATGCTGTAGGATCCAGGAGGAAGTGTGAAAATTTTGAAATCCAGGTTTTTGGTTTAATCTTTCTGCGCCACCTTCCAGCACCTGGGATTTTTATGGAATATTGGCAAGGTCTTTTGGAACCAGGACATTTTTCAAGTTGGCTGAGCAGCCGTTTGGTACCCGCGGTCGTTTTCATAACTTGGCTGAAGGATCTTTGTGTCCTGGGACCTTTTCTCGGGGTTCCGGCCAGGCATGGGGACGAAGCCAGGCCTCTTGCTTCCAAGCTGAATCCGGAACCAAAGCAATGAATCCCTAACCAAACAATGAATCCGTAACCAACACAATGGCATGAAGCCGAAGTCGAAGTCGAAACCTAAGCTGGTGGTTTTGAGGTTGGGAACTTGCCGGCGCTCTCAGTGTGCTTCAGGTCCGGTCCCCCGCCGGCCCCGCTCTCGCCAGCGCTCTCAGTGCGCCTCAGGTCCGGTCCCCCGCCGGCGCTCTCGCCAGCGCTCTCAGTGCGCCTCAAGTCCGGTCCCCGCCGGCCCGCTCTCACCAGCGCCTCTCAGTGCGCCTCAGGTCCGGTCCTCCGTCGTCCCGCTCTCACCAGCACTCTCAGTGCGCCTCAGGTCCGGTCCCCCGCCGGCCCCGCTCTCGCCAGCGCTCTCAGTGTGCCTCAGGTCCGGTCCCCCGTCGGCCCCGCTCTCACCAGCGCTCTCAGTGCGCCTCAGGTCCGTCCTCCGTCGGCCCCGCTCTCACCAGCGCTCTCAGTGCGCCTCAGGTCCGGTCCTCCGTCGGCCCCGCTCTCACCAGCGCTCTCAGTGCGCCTCAGGTCCGGTCCCCGTCGGCCCCGCTCTCACCAGCGCTCTCAGTGTGCCCAGGTCCGGTCCCCCGTCGCCCGCTCTCGCCAGCGCTCTCAGTGTGCCTCAGGTCCGGTCCCCCGTCGGCCCCGCTCTCACCAGCGCTCTCAGTGCGCCTCAGGTCCGGTCCCCCGCCGGCCCCGCTCTCACCAGCACTCTCAGTGCGCCTCAGGTCCGGTCCCCCGCCGGCCCCGCTCTCGCCAGTGGTCTCAGTGCGCTCCATGTCCGGTCCCCCGTCGGTCCCGCTCTCACCAGCACTCTCGGTGCCTCAGGTCCGGTCCCCCGCCGGCCCCGCTCTCACCAGCGCTCTCAGTGCGCCTCAGGTCCGGTCCCCCGCCGGCCCCGCTCTCACCAGCGCTCTCAGTGCGCCTCAGGTCCGGTCCCCCGTCGGCCCCGCTCTCGCCAGTGCTCTCAGTGCGCTCCATGTCCGGTCCCCCGTCGGCCCCGCTCTCACCAGCGCTCTCAGTGCGCGTCAGATCCGGTCCTCCGTCGGCAGGCGATAACCGGTGCGATGCGCCGGACGTGGCCGACCGGCTTCACTTCCACGGCCGGCACGGGGCGCTGGTGCTGCTGACGCGCGACGACCGGACGGCGGAGCGGCGCCGCCCGCTCGACGAGTTCAAAACGGCGTGTGTCACGCACCGACCGCTCCGCGACGACGAGCTATTCGAGGGGCCACCGGGCTCGACCGTGGCCTCTCAGTCCCGGCAGTTGCGGCTTGTTCGCGTGTGACTTGACAAAGCCTCGCACTTTGAGAGGCGTGTCGGTGGTAACGGTCGGACTACCACCGTAAATCTCGTCTTTATCTTTGCGTTGTGCATGCATAACGGTATGATCACCATCATGAGTGTCGGTTCATCTTTGCGTCTGCACGCCAGGGCAGAACTCCCATCGTCAGATAAATCGGCAAGCCTTCCATGATCGGTTGGCTGAGACCCACGCAGACGCGTACAAGACCCCACAGACCCTTGGACCCACTCTATGGTC